AAAGTATCTTCTTTCTCCAAGTCAACACTGGACACCCGCCCCACGCTCCTGACCTCCTTGGGGGTTTACTTCTCTTTGGGAGGGAGGGTGTGCACATGCAGGTTTATCTCTGCAGCCGGTTCCTTTTTTATTGAAGTCATTTTTCTCCTCCTGTCAGCAGAACTGGCTGCAAGCAGCCCCTCCCTCCCACTCTCAGAAGAGCTGAGAAGAAAACAAAAGCTTAATTGAATCCCATGCTGGGGGGAGGGGGTTCAGGCAGCTGGACAGAGGGGCAGGTGCAGGGGAAGAGGCTCTCAGCACAGGGAGGCCAAGAAAGCCCCAGGCCTCAGTGGGTCTGATGGTGGCCTGTAATCATCACCCTAATGTGATTATATTACCATTGCCATATTGCGCCTACTTCCAGGGAACACGCCTGTACATAAGCTCTGTCCACACGTGAGTTTGGGCCTCATTCCCAGAGGTAAAGTATTGTTCATGGGGAGCCGGAGACCCACACAAGCCACATGGCTTGCCCAAGACCACCTACATTTCGGGGTGGTAAGTCCCAGGCTGAAATTTGATCATGGAGCACTCCCCATGATACAGGGTGCAGCCAGGGGGGCCCCCAAAAAACAGATTTGGAATGGTGTCCAGAATTCAAAGTGTATAGGAATATTGGAGAGACATATTGAGATGTCCTCACTGCCCCCCCCCCCCCCAGGGGGAAGGGATGAATAGAGCCAGGGCCATTGAGAGCTATTTTGCATAGCAACAGTTTTGGAGCTAACCTCTGGAGGAATGGTTATTTAACATATCTATAACCTTTAACTGGTTTCATAGATATGTTAAATAGCAGTGGCCAAGTTTGGAGCAAGGGGAAGGGAGAAGGTTGTGGCAGTGACTCAGAATGTAACAAGGGGCTGCACTCCTGAGTGAGAAGAGCTGGGACTCAGGAGGATGTAACTAAGGTCTGCACTCCTGAGTGAGAAGGGTTTGGACTCAGGAGGGTAACGAGGGACTCCTGAGTGAGAAGGCCTGTGTGAGAGCTTGGAAAGGACTGGCTCCAAGACAGGAAGGGTCCCCACTTGGCCAGATGAAGAGAGAACCATGCAGTTTTGGCCAGAGTGCAGACCCCTGCAGCCAGATGACAAGGAGAGCTACGTGATTTCAGCAGAGTAAGGATCCCCTCTTGGCCAGGTAAGGAGGGAGCCACGTGGTTTTGGCAGGGTGCGGACCCCCTCTTTCCCAGGTGAAAGGGAAAAACCACGCAGCTTTGCCAGAATGGAGATCCCTGCAGCCAGGTGAAGAAGACAGCCACATGCTTTTGGTGGAGTGCAGACTCCTGCAGCTTTGGTAGAAGAGGCCCACGCGGCTTTGGGGTGCCCCCTTTGGCCGTGGGGCCTGAAAAGCAGCAGAGACTTTGACTGGAACTGGGTACAAAGGACTCTTGCCAGTGGACCATGAGAGGGTACCACGGTACTTTGGATTAACTCGAGATCCTGCACAGTGACACAGCTGATGGCACCAGCGGCCTGGAAAAGGGACGTGTGCTCTTTTCCTGATTTACGGTACCCGGAGTTGGGACAGTGGGAGAAGGGAGCGCTGTGTGGGTGTAGGTGTATACCCTAAAGGACTTTGATATTTTAGTGGTGGCATTAGGCCTGAATAGCATTAAATAAACATTTTGTTTCCTTTTCACAAATCTCTGGCATTAAGAGATGTCTTTCCAATTGGCGGCGGACAGAAGGGCCCAGTAGATTTTAGTATTTTGTTTTTGGGAGGGGCCCCTATTGTATAGCAGTTTTGGGCATCCCTAGGTGGGCCAAATATTGTATTGCCCCTCCCTCGGACCTCTTGTTGTTCGGTAACACCCAGGCATGTCGGGGTTCAGATTTGCAGGCCTCTAGATGATCCAGGGAGGCAGCACCACACAAGCAAAGGCTGCGGGAAGGGTGCATGGGCTTCGGCGTGGGGCATTCATGGTGTGTGAGACCGCGATGAGCCATGGAAGGTTTCCAAGCAGGGCAGCAGGAGAAGGCAGTGGACAGATAGGGGTGGGCAGTGCAGCTGAGGCTGGGGTGGGTGGGACAGAGGCCTCAGTGGGCTGGATTCCCAAGCCCCTTCCCTCTACCTCTGGAGTGTGCCTGCTACCTTAATACTTCCTCCCTATTTCAGTTTCTGCTCCTCCTGCGAAGCCCTCCTTGATTAATACTCACTCCCGCACCCCACGGCCACATTCTCCAGCTCTCTGCTGCCTTCCTTCCTGTCAGACTGGGGCACCTAACTCAGTGCTTTTCCTCCTTCCTCATACTGGAGTTTCACTACATCAGTGTTCCTTGGCTGCAAATTGTTTTTAAGTTAAACTGGCTTGAGCTAAGAAAGGATTTTATTGGTCCCTCTGAACTGAAATGGTGTGCAGTTACAGACTTCAGGTACAGCTAGATCCAGGTGCCCACAAGGTGTCCGGGCATCTAACCCCTCATCTCTTGACTCTGTTGCCCACTGTGCTGGATCCACTCTGAGAAAGGGACACCATTTTGCGATATGCACCAAACGAGGTGCCTACTGATAGGCGTGGCCCTGGGTGCTCACGGCCTTTCCAAAAGCAGGAAGACTCGGGATGGCAGCTGGGCTGGAAGGAGAGTGCCAGTGCTGTCTTTGTTTGCACCAGGGGCAGAGTGCTGGGATGCTGCAGGTGCAGACAACAGATCACTCTGATTGGAGTGATGGGACAAGACAGTGTGTTACGCTAACAAAGAGTATAAAGGGGGTCTGACCTTGCCAGGGTGGGGGCTGCCCAGAGGAAAGGCAGTAGGTCGAGACCCAAAGGCAGAGAGGACATTAAGAGAGGGTGTTCCCAGTGAGGAGCCAGCATGGACAAAGGAGGGAGGGGGGCTTCTACAGCCACTGGTCCCATTATGTCCTTCTGGGCATTCTGAGGCACTGGGCAGCCACAGCGCATATACACAAGCACACACACAGTGATACATATGTGCTCAGATACATAGCAACACTCATGCATACATCCACGTGGTTAGACATGCACATACAAGGACACACATGCAGAAGAACACATGCACACACAAGCCCACATGCACACACTGTGGGTGTGGATGCTGATACACACATCGCTACACCTGTGTGCATGCATGCACTTGCATGGCTTTGCCCACACCATGACACCTGTGCACAAACATCACTGCACTCTCACATGAACATCATTGCATTGGCATGCAAACACATGTACATAGGCAGACACATAGTTACACATTTGCAGAAGCACACGTTACATGGTCCACACATGCACACACACATAGACACACAATCCCACAAGCACATACACAGGCTGCCAGTGATGAGTGGCTGGTGGAGAAGAGGAGAGAAGGTACCCGGTTGCCCTGGCAACACATCCTGGGTCCTGACCAGGCCTTGTTAGCGCGGCTCGTCTGGCAGCTGGCAGCAGGTGGAGGGCTGTTTAGGACCCCAACCCTCCCTCCCCCAAAGGTTCCTGGTGGCTTTGTGACAGCCCTGCCAGTCTGGGCCCCAGGGGGATAAAGAAAGAAGAAGAACAAAAAGGCCTGGGGTCAGAGCAGAAAACAGGTCCCTGAACCGGGTGCTCTGGGGAGAGACAGCCTGCCCTGGGGGTGCGAGGGGGACAAAAGGGCGGGGCTGGCTGCCCAGCTGAAACACTGCTTTCTGATTCCTGTCTGACCGAAGGGGCTGGGACAGGCCAAGGGAACATGAAGGTCGGGTCGGTGGGGGTGAAGGGGGTGCTCCTGTTTTGGCAGCTGATGGGATCCAAGGGGAGGGTCCCCCTTAGTGATGGCACCACATGTCCAGCCTTTGTCCCCAGGGGACAGAGCTGGGAAGGGACAGATCCTGTCAATCCTCTCCTCGGTGGCTGCAGTGAGGGCACAGGTTCGAGTCCTGGCTGCCATCAACTAGCGAGATGAGGACGTGGGCGGCCTCCTGAGAGGCTGCTGTGAAGGCTGCCCACGTAGTCGGGGGTAAGAGCAGCGCCCACAGACACCTGCTGAGTGAATGTCTGCTGTTGCTGTATCGGAGCCTGGGGGCCGCCACCGCATCGCCCTGTGCAATCCTGCTTCCTTGCCTGCGCCCCAAGCAGAGCGCCTGAAAGGGTTGAGGGCTTCACTGACCTTGAAGGCCCCTGCCACCTTCCTTGGAACTCAAGACAAAATTCCTCACTTGTTACTAAACAGCAAAGAAGGCAGATCTCCACCCCCGCATTCCCAAAACACCTTTATTGCACTAAAAACAGCATTTATAAACAAACACACTTGGGAAATTCACCCACAGTCAACTTCGAACACAAAGGTATGAAACAGTGCAGGCATATAAAAGGAGGGGCCCAAGAGGGAAAGCAGGGGAAGGGCAAGGTCAGGGTCAGAGAGATGGGGAGGGGTGTGAGCTCCGAGCATCTATGCAGGGCCCTCTGTCGCCTCTTTGGCCCACAAACCTGGCCCTAGTGGTCCCCAGGTTCTAGAGTGAAGGGGGAGCCCCTATGAAGGCAGGAGCAGGAGCATGAAGGAGAAGTCACAGGATGGAGGCCACAGGGGCACAAAAAGGGACCCCAGTTCTGAGGTCCCCTCCATCTCAGACTGCAGGGTGCACTGAGGGGAAATCTGCTTCTTCACCTTTCCCTTTGGGGGACCTGGAAACCTGAAATCAGGGGGGATAACGCTGGAGCAGGGAGGGACATCCCAAGATCCCAGTGGACTGCCCTCGTCTACCAAAGCCCAGCAGGCAGCCCAGGAGAGGTGAAGGGGCAGAGCTGGCCTGGCCTCGCTGGGCCCTGCTTCCAATGGTGCCATTTCTGTTTTATTGAACTGGAAAACCTCCACAGAAATCAGTCAAGAACCCACATGCTAACACAACAAGCAAACCCATGCAGCCACCCAGCAGCACGAAAAGCCATAACCAGGGACCCCCTTCGCTTGCCCCTTTGTCCCACCCACCCTAACCAAAACCTATTTACACATGTGGAGTAAAGGCCACAACCATCAGTCGCTGGGCATCACTCCCTAGTGTCCAGCTGGCAAGGGTGTTGGGCAGGAGGGGGCAGGGTGGCAGCCTAGGAGGGATGGGGGCTGCTCTCTGGGTGCCTTCTGAGCACCCCCTCCAGGGGAAGGAGGCTCCAGCAGGGCCAGAGGTCCCAAGCAGGTGCAGTGGACAAGCCAGGCAGCTCTGTGCCCAAAAAGCAAGCAGGGAAGGTGGAGGAAAACAGCCTGCAGGAGGGCTGTCTGGCCCCAGGGACAGAAGAGGAACTACTGCTCCCATTTTCATTTTTGGGGACTTCCTGCACCAGGAGCTTCACAGCACTGCTGCCTCCCAGAGCCCCATGGGGCAGAGCCCTGGACCTGGCGCTGCTTTCTGGGGTCTGGCTGGCTGGCCTGGGGGAGGGGGGCTCGTGCAACACAGCAAAAGATTCAGCTCAGCCTCAGCACCCGAGGCCTCTAGGCCTGTGACCCACCCTGGCCACCTCCCGGCAGACTCCCAGCCACCTGAGAGCCCCTTTCCAGAACTCTGAAGGGGATGAGACCACATCGCCAGGCACGGACGGAACTTGGGGCACAGGGGGGATGCTCAACCCTGCAAATGACCTTCTTTTACCTGGCAGCCCCCTCTCTTTCTCCTTCAAAAAACCTAATCCATGAAAAATAGCATCCCGGTAACCATCCAGCAACCTAGGAAAGCCCCCGCTGCAGCATCAGGGCCCAGCCCGCCTTTAGTTTAAACCCACCTCCCCCTCCCCGGCTCCCGCCCAGCCAACTGGCCTTCTGCCTCTCAGAATCTGGGTGCGGAGGGGAGGTGGGATTCTCCCCTCGGCTCCTGCGGGAGGGATAAAGGGTGGGCTGCGGCAAGAAGCCTTTACAAAAAGGGGAGCAGAGAGGTCAGGGGCAGCTCCTTCTCCCCCAGCAGCGTGTCCCGCTTGAGACTGCTACCCTTGTTGACCACCTTGATCCTGAGGGCCAGTTTGCGGACACTGGCCGGCCCGAGGCCATCGAAAAAGAAGTCCTCATTGAAGATGGGGTGGCGGCTGTTCTTAATGATGGTACTGCGCTGCTTCTGGAGCTTTCCAGGGACCAGGCACAAGCCGACGCAGCAGTTGATGCTTCGGGCGTCGCAGAGGTGGTCGTATAGGCCCTCGGCGGCCAGCAGCCGCACTCGCAGGCGCGCCTGTGCCGCCTCGTACTCGGCCAGCAGCCGCACGCTGCCCCGCGTGCCCATGCGCACCGCGTGCTCCGCGCGGGGCACCTGGCCTGGCTCCGAGCCTGCCTCCGGGGCGGGCCTGCGAGTCAGGCGGCGCCGAGCCCCAGGGCTGGTGTCCGGGGTGCTGTCATCGGCCGACAGGGAGCCGTGGCGGGCCACGGAGTGCTTGAGCTGGCTCACCTTGGCCTGGCTGTCCTGGGCGAAGCCTTTGAGCAGCGACACAGAGCGCGAGAGCAGGGGGGACCCAAAGGGGGAGGACTCGGCCGAGGACCCCGTATCACTCTCCCCACCACTGAAGTAGCGGCTGGGGCTCATGAGGGCCCCGCCAGCCTCCCTGGACACCCCATCGCCCCCATTAGCCTTGACACCCCCACGGCGGCGCCGGGCTCCAGGGGAGCCCACCTGGGCCAGGGCCCCGTGCTCGCTGTGGAACAGAGACTCCTTGCGCCGCGTGTGGGGGCTCTCGGCCAGCGTGGTGAAGCCATAGGACGTCTGGGCCTTGGGCACCGAGGGCAGGGACATGGCACCCTGGGCCTGGGGGTCGGAGTTGGTGGTGGCCTCCTCAGCCGGCCAGTCCTCGGCGCTCTCAATCTGGATCACATGCCGGGTGGCCGCCTTCAGCAGGCTCTTGCTCTCGGCCGCCAGCTTGGCGGGCAGCCGAGGGCTCCGGGGGGCTCGGCGGGGCGAGGCGGAGGCTAGGCTCTGCTCCGCGGCCGGGCCCGGCTCGCCCTGCCCCTCGGGCTCCGCGGGGCTGGCCGGAAGCTTGGGGGGGATGAAGAAGTCGGGAATCTTGTCGGGCGTGAGCACGTTGCTGTACAGGGGCCCCTTAGAGGCCTTGTCCCCAGCCTCGCCCCCAGCAGCACCGTTCTCCCCGGACCCCCGAAGCCGCTCCAGGAACCACATGTTGGTTTTCTTCATAGGGACAGCAGGCAGAAGGCTAGGCGGGCCTCTGCGGAGTCTGGGGAGAGAGGTAGGGGCCAGGCGCTGCAGGCCCGCATGCACTGCGGGGCTGAAAGAGGGGCTCCCGGCACCCGTCTGGGGGAGCCGGGGCAGCAGTGGGGTGGGCTCGACTCTCCCCTCCCTCTCCCTCCCCTCCCCAGAGGGATCGCGCCTAACTTCCAAACACCCAGGCGAAGCCAAAGAGGTGGGTGGGGGAGCCGTTCCGACTCCAGGGTAGCTCCCAAGGGAGAGTGGCCCCTCTCCCGCCCCCACCCCCTTTTGAGGATCTCAAAGCGCTTTTTAAAGGGTTTCACGCTCTGTCTACAGAACAACACCTCGGGGTGTGGGTGGACCCCCAGGTGTCCCAGCTCCGCCCCCCCCTCGGGCTCCCACCCACCTGTGGCTTCTCCCTAGGCTGAGGGTCCAGGCGAGCCGGATGGAGGAAGGGAGAGGACTGGAGTCTGGGGACCCACGGCGCAGCCCCCCGACCCTCCCCTCTGTCTCCCCCGCCCCCTGTTAACTCCGCTGGGGGTGGGGGTGGGGTCCTAGCAGCCCCCGCGGTACGTGGCGAGGTCCCTGTACTCACCTGCCCGAGGTGGTGGCCCGAGGCCGAGGCTGTTCCGCGGACTCGCCGGGGTCTGGGCGCGAAGCTCCGGGGCGAGGGGTGGGGGGATGCGGCCGCAGCTTCCACAAGGGCGGCGGCAGCAGCGCAGTCGGACTCATTCACCGGCCGCGGCGGGAAACCGCCCAGCCCGGCTGCCGCGCCGCCGTATTCTCCCTAGTACCGCCGCCGCTCCCGCCTCCGCCCCCAGGCCTCGCGGCACACCCCCGCGCCGCCCCGGGGCCCGTCGCAGCCAGGATCCTCGCGGGGACCGAGGGGCTGACAAGGGTGGGTGGGAGGGAGGCGGTGGTCGCGGTTTGCTGATGACCACCCCTAGCGTTCATGCCTGAGGACGGGAGGGCAGGGGAAGCAGAAACCCCAAACCCCTGCCTCTGTTCTCTTGGGGAGGGGCGCCGACCCGTGCTTGCTGCCAGCAGCTTTCCCGACTTACAGTGATGAGTAAACGCATAGTAATAAAAATAACCGCAGCTAAATTTACTATTGAGGCTTTCTTGGTGCCAGGACCTAACGTCCTCCCCCCGACTCTCTCCCGCGCTCGTCTATGAGAAAGGCGAGGGTTTCCTCCTAGAAATAAGGACCCTAAACCCGCTCCTCCTGTTGAATGCGCAGTTACTCAGTGTAGCTACCCCAGCAGCCAGGGAGGGGGCTGCTCCTCCGCTTTATAGACAGATGTTTATTGAGCACCTACTGGATGCTTGCACCCCAGGGGACTGATGCCAGCAGAGATGTGAATAAGAATTGTGACAGGAAGATGTGGGGGGGGGGGGGAGCCAGGGGAGAGCACCAGCCTACTGTCCACACAGCTGGAGAAACCGAGGCAGTCAATCCCAGGCCCCGCAGCTCCTAAGATTTCGGGGTCGTTCTGGGATCCCACCCCCCTGCCTTGTGACCTGCCAGCACCAACCTTCCGGCTTCCTCACTCTTTGCCTTCCCTCTCAGCCTCAGTTTCCCCTTCTGGGGCCTAAGGCTGAGCAGTCCCAAGTCCTATCTCAGTTTGTGAGGAGCCAGCAAGATAATGGAGCCAGATGGAGGGAGCCCCCCCAACACATCCACTGGACCTTGGAGTGAGGTGGGAGTCCCACCGTCCCAGAGGGGACAGCGAGGCTCAGAGGGGACCAGGACTCTAAGAGGCCTGCCCCAGCTTCCTTCACCCAGCAAACGCGGGGGCGGAGGGCCCCGTTGTGCTGGGGCAACTCCAGTGTGGCCGCACCCCTCCCCGAGGAGGCAGATTCAAAGAAGGCATCACCTCCCCACGGCCTGGGCCGCCCCCGTGGCACAGCCGGGCGGAGCCCCGTGAAGACTGCCCCAGAGCAAGTGCGCAGGTGATTCCATTGGCCCTGCTGGGCCTGGAGCTGCAATAGGAAGAGTGATTGTGGCCTTAGCCCTTCCGTGTCCACAAGACGCTGGGGTCTTCGGTGAAAACTGGAAGGACGAATGAACAGAGCATAGGAAGGATGACACCTGGAACAGCGCTCTTTCCCACATCGGGGCCTCGGGGGCCTCAGCCACCTTCCTGCATTGCCCCACCAGGGACAGTGGGACACAGGAAAGGGAAGTGACTAGCTAGAATCTGCAAGGAGGGGCAGTGCCAGGTTGACCTGAGGATTGGGTGTTTCAGTCCACACTCACCCTTGCCCAGCTGGGGGCAGGGTTTCTCCTCCCAGCTGGGTTGGGAGAGGAGGCAGTGAGTTTATTCTGTGCCTGTTCCTCCTGTGCTAACTAGTTCGGACACGGATCTGGAGCCACTCAATCAGGGTTCCACATCCTGGTACCAACACTTCCTGCTTTGTGACTTCTGGCAAGTTTCCCAACCTCTCTGCCTTGGTCTCCTCGGTGGTCCGTGGACATCAGAGCATCAGCGTTACCATTTGCAAAATGCTTAGAACAGGCCCTAAACATGTGTGATTTAAGTGTCAGTCATCAGGAAGGCTGCTACTGGTCAGGAAAGAGCCTCAGCTAGTGGAGGCCTTGCCGGGCCTCAGAGGGAAGCCCAGCACCTTGACCCCAGCACAGCCTAGCTCAGCCATAAGCCCCGACCCCGTTCCCCTACCCCATCACATTTGGGCGGCTGAGGAAACTGAGTACTTGGGGATAGGTCCCAGAAACCTGCCCTGTGGGCGGCCGCAGAGCCCACCCTGGAGGGGGCGGAGGCAGGGAGGTGACAGGCTTTGGCTACAAACAGGAACCTCTCCGTGTCAACAAAACCTTCTGCCTCCTCTGCAGAGCCCTAGGGCTGATAGGTCACAGGGGGAGTCACAGGACTCCCCTAAACCCTGAGCTGTAGCCTCCCTGGAACCAGAGAAGATGAGGCTGCAGACTGCAGGCCCAAGCTGGGGAGGGGGCCAGATGGTATCCATCAGCCCCACCCCCTTAGTCGGGCCACTTCATGCTAGGGGCCACTTCATCCCCCCCAAACAAGTCTTCACCCTCTCTCCCACCCCCAGAGACACACTATATGGAAAGGACAAAGTGGCACATCTCAGAGAAGACAAAGGAAGGTGGTGCTTCCCAGGATCCAGGCCTGAGTCATGGGCTGCTCCCTGTGGCATCCAGCAGACAGGCGCGGAGGACACACAGGGAGGCGGCTCAAAAACAAAGAGCCTGAGAGCCCAGCACCAGGCCTGAAGCGCCACCTTGGGCCCGTGCGGCTCTGGGCTCTGCACTGTCTTCTCCTTTGGGAGAGAGGAGGAAGGCATGTCTGCACGCTCTCAAGAAGGACCCAGGCCCAACCATGCACTGGAGGGGCATCATCCCCATTTTCTAGATAAGGAAACTGAGGCATGGGGGAATAGCCTGACTGCACAGTGCGCACGCAGTTCCGGGAAGGGAAACTACTGGTCCAAGGATGCACAGCAGAATTTGAACCAACATCTCTACGAACTCCACCCCAAGGCCCTCCGAGGGTGGGAATGGGCCGGGAGCATTTGCTAACTGAAAAACTGCAGATAAGAGCAGGCTTGAGACAGTGCAGGAACCCATCTAGAGCCAGGCTCCCAGCCCTGGCTTTCCTGGGTCAGGGAGAAGGAAGGGGAGGTAACAAGGTTCAAACACCAGCTCTGCTTCCTCCCAGTGGTATGTCCTTGGGAAGCCCCGTGACCCCCTGAGCCTTCATTTCCTCACCTTTAAAGTGGGGAGAATCTGAGCACCCTAAGTTCTTAGCACATGCCTACAGGGAGTGCTAGGTGAGACTTTGAAGGTGGGGCGCTGGGCCTTGGAGGACCCAGGGCTATGAACGAACAAATGAATGAATGAATGAATGAATGAAGTGCATTTCAACCCCTCCCTCTGGAATCTGACACTTCTTGACACTCCTTGGCCCAGCCCCCAGGCCTTCTTCTCTCAGCTGCGCCCATTCCTATCCTGTCTCCACAGCATATTTCCCATTTGCTTAAAAAGTCCCTAGCAGTTCTCCCTGTCACCCCGCCTTGCCTCCACTGTGTCCACTCCACCACCCCTGATTTCACCCCCAACCACTGGCCACCCTTCTGCCCCTGAGCGGGCTGTGCCCCACACATCACAGGGCCTTTGCAAATGTTGCTCCACCACCCAGGACTGTCCTACTCAACCTCCAGATCTAAGTCCCTGCGTCATTCCCACACAGAAGCCTCCAGGGTGTCCTGGGATCTCTAAGCCCCAAGACTCCCTCCTTCTCACAGTTGTCATTAGACACTCTGTGGTGATTTGCTGGTTAAGGTCATTTGACTGTTAATTCCGTGAGGACAGGTCTGTCTTGCTCACTGTTGCATCCTCCTTTACACACCAGAGCTTCTGGCAAATAAGAGAAGTTTGACAAAGGCAATTAAAGGATCTCAGGACGCAGGTGGAGGGGGCGTATGGGTGGGCGGATGAATGGAATGAATAATAGATGAATAGGGGGATGGATGAGTGAGTGGATGGGTGGATGGACAAATAGACAGATGGATGGACTGGTGGCTCAATCTCCATGTCTTTGAAGAGACATGGCATCAGAGTCCCCTTCTGACTCTAGCTTCCGATGGTTTCACCCCTAGTTGGGGCCAGAGCAGAGTGGCTTTTACTCCCCACACCCTTATAGGGTCCCCCAGGCCGGCCGACTGCAGGGAGAGCACAACCCCTCCCCAGAGACCCAGACCCTGGACAGGGACGTGGCCCTGGTGGGGTGTGGGGAGAGCTGGGGACATCTTTGGAAGAGATGCCTCGGTGTTTTGGGGAGGAATCAGAGGACAGTCCTGGGAGAGTGGAGGCGTCTCTGGGAGGGAGCCTCAGAGTCCAAGTGCAGGAAGTTCTGGAGGACTGGTAGATGGGTGCTAGAGGAGGAAGCCGTGCATTCGGGCAAGTAGGGGCTTTGAGGGCAACGGAGGCATCTCAAGGAAACTGGGAGGGAAGAAGTTGGGATCCCTGAGAGGTCAGGGCACGTTTAGGAGCGAGTTAGGGGCAACTTGAAAAACACAAGTGTTTTGTCAGCTATATTGGGATATCTCAAGAGAGAGGTTTGTAGCATTTGGAAATTAGGTGTTTCCACAGAAAACTTAAGGTGTATTTAATAGAGGAGTTAGGGTATACTTTATCTCTAAAAACAGAGGTTCTTCGAGATGTTGGTGGATTCTGGGAGAGCAGACCCCCCTGCAAACACTCCCCCCACTAGGGGCACACCCACAGGCAGCCCCCTTCTCTCCACCTCCAGGCCCCTGGGCCCCCACCTCTTCCAGCCCCCAGGAGGCCAAATCTGGTGCCACCTGGCTTTCCACTGTGCAAACTGATTTCGGCCACCCCCCACGACACCGAAGAGGGCCCTTTAAAGTCCAGTGAGCTTGTGCTCCTTGTGGTCATTCCCAGACTTAATTACAAACAGATTCCAAACGTCCAGTCCAGGTCAGCACTCCCGAGGCTGCCCCCCATTTCCACATCAGCACGTGTCCTGTCCTGAGGACCCAAAGCACCTCGATTCTCCCTCCAAAACGAGGCACCAATTCTTTTTAGGTGGGAACACAGAGCCCGGCCAGGACGGGACCCCAGCTCCAGGCCAGCGACCTGGGAACTCCCCCTTCCTGAGAGATGAGCTGAAATCCAACCCCACCAGGCCCTCACCAGGGCACCAAGGGCTGCTTTTTGATATATTTTCGTTAAAGGCGAGAAACGGTTCTGTCTTTGGTACGTACAACCTCACTTCAGGCAGAAGGGAGGAGGCGGGGGGGCTTGGTGGGAGAGAAGGGTCTTGGGCCCCCATTTCCTGGCGTGATTGACCTGGCCCGGCCAAGAGGGGGCTGGAGAGGGGAGATTGGAGGCCCGTGTGGAGGAAGGCGAGGCGGCGGCCGTTAGGTCTGACCAGGGTCCTGAGAAAGGCTGTAAGGCCACACAACAAGGACGTCTGGGGAGCAGGGACAGGAGCCGGGAGTGAGAACCATCACCTGGAGGAGAAAGCGGAGACGTCTGGGTCAGCTGAGACAGCAATCAGAGACCCGGGTTCAAATGCCAGGTGCTCCAACTTCAGTTACACTACAGTAAAGTGGCTCAGCAAGGAGACTCAGGCTCAGGGGCCCGGGTTCAAGTCCCAGCTGCCCCATGTTCTTGCTGAGTGACCTAGAGTAGTAACTTAACCTCTCTATGCTGTTTCTTCTGCAAAATGAGAATTCTGATAACAGTGCCTGTCTCAGAACCTCATGGCAGTCTGTGGAGATGTGGGAGAAGGTGAGCACAGTCCTTGGACACAGCTGCATTAGCAACTATTATAAATGCCATCGTGGTCATTTCTCGGGCTACCAACAACTTTAGGGTCAGCAGGAAAGCAGATCAGGCCCTGGCACATGCAAACACACAGCCCGGAGTACTGCAAATCACTCCAGGCATTGCACAGGACCACCCACAAACCCTGAAACCCTTCCCAGACTGGGAATCCCACCTCTGCCAGCATCCAGGCCTGTCTGGGGCCACAGGGAAGGCTGCACTGAGTGGGGGAGAGGCAGGAAGGAGACCACTGTGATGGGGACAGGAGAGAAGCCCAACCAGGCCCAGAAGCTCCTCTCACTCAGCTCTTGGGAAAATCTGACAGTCCCCTTCCCCTGAGGTCCCTCCCTCCCTGAGCCCAGGTCCCAACCCCAGATCCTGGAATCCCATGTCCTCTCCTGCCTGGACCACCCTCCGCTTCACCCCGGGGCCCTCCTCTCTCACTGGAGAGGTCCTATACCTGCCCGTCCCTCCCCAACTCAAAACCCTGCTGCAGCTCCCCAGCACCAAAATCAAAAGGCCAAGAGTGCACCTTCTCATCTCACCCACCCCACCTGACACACCAGCCCCACTGGACCCAGGCCACACTGGTCCCTCTTCCAGCGTAGCCAAATGCTGCCTCCTTCTGGAGATTTCTATCACCAATTAAACAGAGTCGCCATAATAAATCAGCCATTCCACTCCTAGGTACAGACTCACCCAAGGGCAAAGAAAACACACATCCACACAAAAACCTTTTCACACATGTTCACAGTGGCCCAAAAATGGAAACACTCAAGTGCCCATCAGCAGGTGAATGGATAAATACAACGTGGGCCAGCCACAGGGTGGAATATTACTCAGCCATGAAAAGGAGTGAGGTGCTGACACTCGATACAATATGCATGAACCTGAAAAACATGATGCTCAGTGAGAAGCCAGACACAGAAGGCCACAGAGTGTGCGGTTCCATGTATGTGACATGTCCGGAACAGGCAAATCCACAGAGACAGGAAGTGGTTGCCAGGGGCTAGGGAGCAGATGGGGAGTGACTGCTAAGGGGGACAGAGCTTCTTTCGGGAGTGATGGAATGTTCTGGAATTAGACAGGGGGTGGATGCTGCACAATTCTGTGAAAATACTAAAAACTACTGATGTGTCCACTGTAATGGGTGAATTGTGTAGCATGTGAATTCTTTCTTAGTTTTTAAAATGAGAAGCGTGGCAAAAGGCAATTGCCAGAAGTCAGCAGGGCCAACTACGCACCTGGCTCAGGGCTCCCGCTTGACCATGCCACGCAAGTGCAGCTCACTCTCAGCAGCCACAATGGGCTGCCCGTTCTGCAGGTGATAGTCGATCAGGTGGCTGATGCTCTCGAACAGCACGTCCTTCGTCCGCACCTGCGGGTCCAGAGGCCTCAGCATCAGCACCACCAGCAGGTTGTCAGAGAGCAAACTCAGGCTAGTCCCAGACTTGCTGAATTGGGACCTGCATTTTCAGAAGCTTCCTGGTGGCTCTGATGCACACCCAAGTGTAAGAATCATTGGATTCAAGACTTACAGAGTTGGCCTCAGAATTCCACAACTAGGTATGGACGCAGGCTCCAAACCACCAGGATTCTGGGGCTACACTCCCTAGCAAGTTGAACAAAAGCCATATCTATGTCCTAACCCCTAGAACCCATGAATGGAAACGTATTTGGAAAAAGCATCTTTGAAGATGTGATTAAGTGAAGGTTCCAGAGATGAGCTCATCCTGGATTACCCAGGTATCCCTGAATCCAGTGACTTGTGTCCTTAAAAGAAATGAACAAGTTGGACGCAGAGACACAAGAGAATCTATGAGAAGATGGGGGAAGGGATCAGAGCAGTGTGTCAACAGGCCAGGGAACAGCCCCACCGGCACCTTGCTTTCAGACTGGCCTCCAGAGCTGAGAGAGAGTAAATCTCTGTTGTTTTAAGACGCCCATTTTCTGGTCATTTGGTAGGGCAGCCCTGGGAAATGAATACCCTCCTGGAATATCAGAGACATAGATCCGAAACTCAGAGTCACCAGATCCTAAAACCATCTGCATCTCAGAATGAGAAAATCTTAGCGTCACTGTGTGCTAGACATGGTGGGTACAGCACACATGGTGGGTACAGAGACCCTCTGGCCCCCACGCTGCCAGACATTTCATGCGTGATGCTGGGCTCGCTGGGCACATGTCCCCTGGATGGCAGGCTTAAGTGCACATTTCTGGGCTCAGCCACACAACCACCTTCCACCTGAGCATGCCCTGTACAAAGAGACATGGAGTCCACCGAGGACAGCTATAAGGGCTGGACGGGTGAGAGCAGCTGGTACACTTGAAGGCTTTTGACACCCCCAAGCCCCTTCTCCCCTGGGAAACAACCTGGAGAGCCCAAGGCCCCTGGGCACTGGAAAATACTGCACAAACCCGGGAACTACGTGTCAATTGGAAAATGTCTGGTCAAGTCTAAAACGCTTCAGGAACCGTCAAAGACCAAATCTCACGGGCTCCAAGCAGCTGTTAGATGCATCACCATTATTCACGACGGCTGGGGGCGGGGGGGCCTCCCAACTAAATAACGGTGCTGTTCAAAGATTCGATGGATGGGAGGGAAGCAAAGTGTGCACCAGAGCTGAAGCATTCTGTAACTTGCAGACCCTAAGACTCATCGACTGAAACCTGAACTGGGAACCCTAAAATACATGAGAAACAGAAAAAAAGCCGCATTTATCGAAGACATCACTATTTGAGATGCACTAGTGATAACAGAATGTGAAAAAAGTGCATCTTACAATTGTTGAAATATGATACTTTGAAACTCTGAAAGAGCTTGAAATTGGAAAAGGTTTGGTAACCCCATAAAGCTCTATAAACTGGGAAATACTTTGTAAACCCCAAAATTCTTAAACTGGAAAACAGTCTGTAATTCTAAAGTACCTGGTAAACGGAATAGAATCTGAAAACATAAAGGGCTTTGCAGTCGGGAAAATACTTCATTAAAACTAAAGGGAACTAAGAAGATGGGCACCCTGGGCAGAGCGGGGATGCCCCCCCCTTATTACTTCAGGCCCACCCACGCCGGCTCCCAAACCGGCTCCTCCAAGCCCCTCCTAGTGCCTCACCACCCCTTCAGCCCGCCCCCTCCCCTCCCACCACTCGGCCCCCTTGTTCCCGCCCACGGCCACCTTACCACGCCCTCAGGGTCCACAAGCAGCAGGTGCTTGGGCTGCCCCGCGTGCATGCCTGTGAGGACGTACTGCCCGGGGTTGGTGACGCTGTCGCGCACAAGGAAGTCCCCGTCGGCTCGCAGCAGTTTCTCCGCCGCCCGACGGCTCATCTGGCCGTGGTACCAAGGCTCCTGACGCAGCTGCTCCTCTGTGGGGGCGATGGGGGCCCTGCGGGTGGGGGGACTGGGCCACTGGTCCTCCAAAGGAAGGGGGGCCGCCGCGCCTGCCGCCACAGAGCACTCATGCAGCTTCAGAGCATCCTCGAAGGGTCCTGAAGGGGAGGACGGGGTGCAGAAGGCAGGAGGTGGGCAGCTGCCTCCTACTGGGAAGGAAGGGGTCGAATAGGAGGAAAGAACCACCCTCGGGTCCTGGACAACTCTGAGCACCTACCGGGCACCCGACCTGCACTAAACCCAGCACAGTGGGTCATTGTCTGTGCGCTGCGTGAGGGCCAAGGGTGAGCTGGGTGTGCATGCTGTGTGCTCTGAGTGTGCTATGAGCTGAGTACGTTGTGTGTGAGGTATACTCGTGTGTGCTGGATGTGTGCTGTGTGCACCGTGTGTGTTAACAGGAGCCTGGCAGGCAGCGACTCTGTCCACAGGGGTTCCTGTGGTCACCAGGGGGGTGAGCAGGCCTCACAAGGCACTCACGCCCAGCAACGCCCAGCAGTCCCCCCCTGGAGGGTTGCTGCAGAAGCCAGTGGGGCCGGCACTCAGTCCCGGGCCTGGAGCACAGCCGGTGCACAGTAAGTACTAGTGCGTCATCACTGCAATGGTCAGCTATCCAGTTGTCAGGAGCAGGGAACTGGGCTTTGCAAATGTTGTAAAGGAAGACATTTCCAGCTGGCTCTGGAGGTTCTCGGGGACCTCCAACTAGGGAGGTGTCCTGAGGGAGGGGGACCACCTTGCCTGGCCAGGATGGAGCCAACACTCACACAGGGCTGTGGAAAAGGGCGGAGTTGACATGAGAAAAGAAAACATTTTGGACACAAACCTCCTCCATCATACTGAGCCCTCCCTCAGGCCCAGAGAGGAGGAAGGAAGGAGCTCTACCATCAGCTGCTCCGTCAGGACCTGGACTAGGACTCCCTCATCGGACTAGGGGTCCCCCGGGGAGAAGATAGAGCCTCCCTCGTCAGGCTGGGATTCCTTAAGAAGGACTTTGGGCCTCCTCCCTCAGACTATGGAGTCAAACGAGGATGGAGTTCAAATTCCCTGCTCAGACGGGCGGTCCTGCAGAAGGGAGCGAGGCCTTCCCCACAGACCGAGGAGCCCCGTGGAGAGGAAGGGCCTGAGCCTCCCCCATGACACTAGCCACTCTCTCAAGGTATGAGCTAGCCATCTCCCATCAGACTGGGGACCCCCACAGAGAGAAAGCTGGGTTACCCCGAGACTGAGGACTCCCACGGAGGGGAACACTGAGCCTCCCCTATCAGACCAGGGAGTTCCACAGAAAACAGACTTCCCCACCCCACCCACGTCAACTTGGGAAGTCCCAAGCGGAAAAGTCCCCAGGGAAGGAGGCTGGACCTCCCCTATCAGGATCACAGGTGGCCTCCCCCCTCGGGCTGAACTGCCCCCACGTACGCATGTCGAACAGGTCCTTCTTGGGGCTGTCCTCGGGCTGCAGAAGCTCCAGTGTGTCCAGACCCTGCGTGTTGACGTACAGGTGGTCCTCGTAATCTCGGGGCCCCTGGGCGTCCGCCTGCACGTAGCCATCCCCCGGTGGGGCTGAGGAGGGCAGGAGGGGTAGTGAAGTCAGCTGGGGGAGCCAGGGAACACTGAGGCCCTAGGGTGCAGAGAGGGGCAGTGCAGGACCCCCCCCCGGAAACCCCACCCACACCTGTCTCCCTCCAGGAAGGAAGCCTCGTGCCCATTTGAGCAGCACCATCAAGAGTGAAAAGCACCAAAAACGCCCAGCCGGTGGTGGTAGGGCAGCAGAGGTCCATAACTCAGGCAGGGACAGCCACCCACCCAGCCTGTCCCCATCTGCCGGGCTGGAGGGTGGCCCAGGGGGCCAGAGCTTTCCAGTTTCAAAAGAAACCAAAATTCTGGGAAAAAGAAAAAAGAAACTGATGCTGTCACATCTCTTAAGAGCTTGTGAATACAGTCTTGCGGGTGAACGTGAAAGGCGCAGGAAGAGAATCTGTGAAGGGGGACCCAGGCGGCCAGTGGGGGAGGGGCTGGGGCACCCTGTGGCCCCAGGGCACCCACCCTACCTGAGGGGCCCAGCTCCCAGTGCAGGCCTCGGGTGTCTCTCTGAGGAGGGGACGCTCCCTGGAAAAGAAAGTAAGGGTCCCTCCTTAGGTGTGCAAGCCCCTCGCCAGTATTCCTACCCAAACGCCTGAATCACTGCAGACGTGAGTCAGATGGGAGGCTCGGCTCACACCCCCTACGGCCTCCCCCCAGCCCCGGCTCTCTAACTGCCAGGCACCCACCAGGCCCAGCTTCGCACCTACCACCCACCTCTGCTATAGCTGCACAGGCCGTCTCCTGCACCCAACCCTGCTGTTCCCTCCTTCCCTGCACAGCTCTCCTGGGCGAGTCCTGTTCACTCGCCAGCGCCCGGCCCAAACACTGCTTCCTCAGGAAAGCCCTCCTGACCACCGACAAGTGGTCTCTCTTCTGCGCGCTCTGGTTCTCTGCCTTGTCAGCCCTTACACAGCAGGGATGTGATTATTTCCCCAGTGTCTGAGGGGAGGAACCACGTCTGAACTGTCTAGAACAGGGTGGAGCAGATCTGTGCAGTTTGGAGAAGGAAGGAAGAGTAGAGGGTGCGAGAGACCCTACTCTAGGATGGAGAACAGGAGCAGAAGAAAAAGCTAGGGACACAGCCTGGCTTTTTCAGCACCTGGGGACAGCTGCTACCACCCCTCCCCTGAGAGTCCAAGGGGCTGACCTGGCTAAGGGCTCCTAGGGCCCCAAGGGCGCAAGGTTGTGTCAAGGCGAGCCTGGAGTCCACCAGCCCGCCCAAGGGCAGCTCCTTCCCCGGGATGCTATTGTAGTAATTGTGTTCCGTGTCCTCCTCGTCCCCCCACGCCGACTCCTCCAACCCGGTCAGCCTGGTGACAGACAGCAAGCAGAAGCACAGGCGGCGCGAGGCCCCAGCACACAGGGCAGAAGGAACAGGGGCACCCAAGGGACGTCAAGGCCTTGGGGCTGGAGCTTCGAAGGGTGGGTGGAAAAAGCCGGGCCCAAGGGGACTCTGACCCCACCTCCCATCGGCTGAGCTGTTGCCCAGGAAATGCTTACTGGGCGCTGTGCTTCCCTTCCCTCGTCTGTAAAATGGGACGCGGCATAGCTACTGCAGGTCCTTCAGGGAAGCTGGTCCTCACTCCTTTCCACCCACTTCTGGCCTGGCCAGGCAGCCAGAACACCCCAGACTTGCACCCAGGACCAAGATGCCTGCCATGCCTGCCATGCCTTCCGGTGGAACACCCTCTGCATTTAAAATGCCCTTGCACCCTGGACGGTGTGGCTCAGTGGACTGAGTGCTGGCCTGTGAACCAGAAGGTCACCAGTTCGATTCCCAGCCAGGGCACATGCCTAGATTGTGGGTCAGGTCCCCAGCTGGGGCTGTGGGAGAGGCAACCGATAGATGTAGTTCTTGCACATCAAAGTTTCTCTCCCTCTCTTCCTCCCTCCCTTCCTCTCTTTAAAAATAAATAAATAAAATCTAAAAAAGAAAGGCCCTCGCCATCTGCCCTGTGGTCGCGCCTGTAGAAATTCATCCCACAGGTGATCACTCAGGTGACATGGTACCTAAGAGCACAACGGTGTAGGCCACTGCCTGCCCCTCAGGCGGGACGAACCACGGGTTCCATTTGGGCAGCAGAGCAGGACCATGCGGCCCGCGGAGGCAGGGGCAGCTCCAGGTGCCCAGCAGTAGCAAGTGAAACCCACCACGTGCAGGTGACAGACCTGCAAACCCGTGAGAAAGGCGACAAAGGCCACCTCACCCTGGGGAAGGGCCTCCTGCTGCACTTCGAATTCCTCTTCCTTATCACTCGCTTTACTAAATGTCTAAAAGTTAACTTAAGTAGCTGAGATCCGGGGTCAGCCCAGGAGCCACACAACTTTTAAATGGTTAAGAAAACATGCAAAGAACATGTGGCAATGTGGGGGAAGTTCATGCAATGCAGATTGTGGTGTCTCTAAATACAGCTTTGCTGGCACCAGGGCCGCCCACAGTCTCAGCACCCTCCACAGCTGCTTCCACAGATGACAGCCATCACAGGCAGTCTGGCCACGACACCGCAAAACACCAAGCGTGTGGCCCTGTGCAGCAGCGTCGACCCGCATGCTGATGGTGATGGCAGTGCTGACTGGCTCCCGGACCCTCACCTCCACCCAGCGAGTCTCGGCTGTCTTTATCGGGGTTTCATGGCCCAGGGAATGGGCATCCTGGCAGCTGTGATGACCTAGCTCACGGGGAGCACAGGGGCAGGGGGCAGGGTGGACCGGAGCCCAGGAGGAGCAGGTGAGAGCTGGTACCTTTCAGGGGGGACGACAACCTTGGGGGGGCTGTGCAGGTACTGTTTGAAGCGCAGCTCAAAGGCTTGGCCCACAGTGCTGATGACGCTCTGGGCGAGGCCCTCGCAGCACTCCAGGATGTGGCAGGCTGGGGGTCGTTCGGTGACACAGCGTCAGTGTGGCCTGGCCACTGGCATACTCCACACAGGGCCCCCCACCCCACCCACTGGGCCTCACCTCTCTGGTTGATGGGGTCCTTGGCGACATAGGCCACATAATCCGTCATGTCCTGGGGAGAGAGGGGGCGGTGGAAGGGGCCGGCTGGACCTGCCTGAACCCACTGGCCTGGATTCCCCCCTGCCCACCTCCAGAAAGGCAGGCGGCAGAGGAGGCCAAGCCCACCCACTCAGCCCCTTACCGTGTCGCCGCCCGATGCGAAGGAGATGGACTGCATGTGGTGGTTGGCGATGACCTGTCGGAGAGACACCAGGTCACGGCGGTCCTGGGTCAGGGACCTAAGGCTCAAGCAGGCACTAGGCCAGGGCCACGGGGAGGGGCCTGGCGGGGTGGGGAAGCGGGGCTGCACAGACACACACTGGATGCCAGGTGCACCCCCAGGGACAGCTGTGGCTGCTGTGAGGGCAGCGGCCACTTCCCTCCTCGGCTCCAGGGTGGGGCCTCAGTTCGGCTCCAAGTGAACACAACACATGAAGCCCGCACCCCATCCCCCCAGGTTTCACCTTGTGTGACCCCACAGAGCCTGCCCCTCGGGGCCAGAGGACAGGCCACTCTGCCCTCGCCTGTCGTGGGGCCCTCACCTGGCGCGTGGCAGGCACGGAGAGGTTGAGGCCATCGGTAGAGATGCTGACAGCAATGCTCATGCCGGCAAAGCGCAGGTTGCTCTTGCCCAGGATGGAGGCCAGCGCCTTGTTGGGGGCCTGAGGGGCAAAGGGCCACAGGGTGGGGGGCCTGAGGGGGCAGAGGGCCGTAGAGTGGGGTCTTGGAGGGCCAGCAAAGGGTGGGGGCTCGGTGGGGGAGGGACTGCAGAGAGGCTCCAGCTGGGCAGGGTCTGAGGGGGGCCAAGGCGTCCCCTCCAGCCCCACTCGAGGACCACAAACCCCTCACCAACCTTCTTCTTCCAGGAGCCCCGGACTCCGGGCACAGCCTCGTGGAGCCGGTTGATGGCCTCCCTGTGGGGGGATGGGGAGGGGCCTTAGAGAACTTAAGAGGGGAGGGGTCTGGAGAGGGGCAGGAGCTCAGGAAGGGTGGCAGGTCAGATGGGCTGAGAAAGTGATGCAGTGGACCCTGAGATGGGGAGAGGCTGGGGGGCTGAGAGGGGGAAGGGTTCTGGGTGAGAAGAGGAGAAGGGGAGAAGAGGAGGAGACGGGGGCACAGAAGGGGGTGCCCCCAGCCATCTGGCAGATACCCCCATCACCTGTCTCCCTCTGTGGGTTCAGACTCGGTGAGGCCAACACAGCCCCTAAAGTTAGACCTAACTGCTGGGTGGCCACAGGCAATGAGGAGAAGACCTCTGCCAAGGGCAGAGCCGATGAGACCAGCTTCCCAGACCCCCTCGTCCCGTCCTGCCTTCCACGCCCGGCCTGGTAGGCTCACCTGGTGACCTGGGTACGAGTGTTGAAGTCCAGGGAGCGCATGGAGCGTAGGACCTCGATGCAGCCCATGTACTGTGGGAGGAGAGGAGGGGCGAGTGGGTGGGGCCCCCAGACCGAGCAGAGGAGCCCAGCTGGGACTGGCAGATGAGCTCTCCAGCCTTCTCTCCTGCACCCACTGGGTTCAAGTCCTTCCCTCTGTCCTTGGCAATGTCCAGCCAGCAAACTGGGGGTCTTTGCACCTGGGGTCCTCCCATCTACCTTTGAACTGATTCCTCATCTTCAGAACCAGCGTCACCTCCCCAGAGCCAGCTTCCCTGACTCCACATAAGCGGTTCCACAGAAGCCCACTGATTCCCCCAAGCTCACTTAACTATCTGCTCATTCTCTTTTTCTGCTCCACTGGGACGCAAGTCCTGAAGAACCAGGATGGCTGTCATCTTGCCCACTTCTGCATCCCAGAGCCCAGCACAGGGCCTGCAAACAGGTAGGACGGAGACCGCCTGGCCTGTGAAGCCCAAATGCTGACTATCGGTGATCCTTTACAGGAAAAGCACATGGACTCCTGCCTGGACCACCATTTCCATGGAAAAGTAATTCAGAATCTCCGAGGGACAATACTGAGCGTCAGAGGAAGTGGCAACAGCCAGCAGAGTTCCTGGGCAGCTTCTGCAGCTTCCAAAGGCGGGGGCACGAGGACCACCCGATGGCCAGAGCCACCCTTCCAAATTCCAGGCTGCCGAGAAGTGAACGGTATGACTGGAGAGCCACATGGCGGCGTCTGTCACATGGCCCCACCAGCACAAAAGGTCCAGAACAGGCCGATCCACAAAGAGAAAGTGGGTTTGCAGTTGCCAGGGGCTGGGAGCGGGGGAGGACGGGGGTGACTGCTCATGGGGACAGGGCTTCCGGTCAGGGAGATGGAGCCTTCTGGGACTAGATGGTGGGGATGGCTGCACAACCTAGCAAATGTACTAAATGCCACTGAATGGTTTGCTTTAGGATGATTGATGATTACATTTGTCGTGTAAATTTTACCGCAATTTTTAAGGTGAACTATGCTGACAGAAGCTGGGACAGTGGGAGTGCCGTGGGGGTGCCGACCAGGAGGGCGCCAGGCACCTGAGGCCTGCTTCCACACTGCACTCTGTGTGTGTCGTCCCTCGACTTTACAGTCTGACCGAGAAAAACAGGACGTCCCACAGATGCATATTAATTATGAAGGAAACAAATGGTGAGGTTACCAGGGAGAAACATCGCTTTAACCAATGCGCTACTTTCCTGGGGCGGCTGCAACAACGAGCTACAAACTGGGCAGCTTAGAACAACAGGGATGTCGTCTCTCTAGTTCTGGAGGCCAGACGTCCAAAGTCGAGGTGTTCGCCAGGCCGCACTCCAACTGAAGGCTTCGTGGAGGGCCACTGCTTGTCTCATCCAGCTCCCAGTGGTGGTGGCCGGCAACCCTTGGTTTGCAGACGCATCAGTCCAGTATCTGCCCCCATCTTCACATGGCCTTCTTCCTAAATGTCTGTGTCCAGATGTCCCTCTTCTTATAAGGACAACCGTCATTGAATTAGGGCCCCCCTCTCACTCCAGGGTGACCTCATTTTAACTTGACTACATCTACAAAGACCCTGTTTCCAAAGAAGGCTCCATTCGCAGGTTCAACAGACATGAATTTGAGGGGAAGTATTCAGCACAGTTCCGGAGGAGGGACCATGGTAAAGCAGCAAAGGCAAACACACCAACTTCCAGGGTGCTGGTAACCAAAAGGCCAGCAGAGATGTGAATTCCGCCAGATGGTCAATGACACTCTGGGATACCTGGTAATTTTCGTGCGTGAAGGAGCGGACTATGGGTGTGCAGGGCAGCCAGCTCCCTAGACCGTGCGCACACTTCCAACAGCGAAGGTCATGCGCTGGCAACCTCCTAGTGGTTCACCGAACTCCGCACAGGGCTAAATTACCTCCATTTTAACAGTCATGGTTGCAGGCGCACAGGCGATCCATTCGTCCAGCTTTTCCGTTTGTTTGAAAGGTTTATAATAAAAAATTAGAATAAAGACTCATCCTTTTACACAATGTTCGAGGTCTCCAGTTTCACTCGAATCCTGAGCTCCGGCTGGGCGCCGCCCGTTTGCAGATACCCCTTCCCGGGAGCCCCCGCCCCCACCTCCTGTCAAAACCTCGGCAGATTCCGATTCTGTCTTCTACAAAGGAGCTTTTAATGGGGGTCTGGGTAGCAGGGTGGAGGCTACCCAGAGGCCACCCTCGTTACCACTATCTAAACTCTCCTGAGCTACCGGGATGGGGAGGGGAAAATGCTTAGCCTGCGCATGCGTATCCCCCACCCACCTGCAGCCCTCTCCCCGCCTCTAGTCACATGATGCCTTGGGAACCCAGACCCCAGCGCTTCCCGGCTGGGGGCGCCCAGCGAAGCTTTGGTTGGAGGTGGGGGTCCAGACTGGTGGGGAGTTATGGAAGGATGAAGAGGAGATACCTGGTTCTCAGGGTCTGGGGCTCAGGGAAGTGAGGGAAGGGAGCCCCAGTCCCCAGGTTGGAGGGTCCGAGGATGGCATCCCAGCGGTCCTGGCCAGCGCACTCACCCGAACGATGTAGGAGACCCCCGGCCCCAGGACCCTGGCATCTGGGTGTAACCAGCCGTGCGCCGGCTTGTGGATGAAGCTGCCTTTGCGGATCCACTCGTCGGCGACGGAGTCTGGGGGCCCGGCGGCCCCCCGCGTGCCCCGAGATCCCCGCGTCCCAGCAGTTCGGCAGCGGCTGAGAGCCGGCAGGGGGCAGGGCGCGGCGCAGCGCGGTTCGCAGGCACCCAGGACCGCGGCCGCCAGAGCAGGGACGCTAGCCGGGCCGGCCTGCTCCGGCTGGGGATCGGCGCCTCCTGCGGCCCCCGCGCCCCCCGCCGCCCGCGACGCAGCCGGGCCGCGGCCCAGGAAGCCGGCCGGAGCCGCAAACTTCCATTGCGGCATGCGCGGCAGCAGCGCGCAGAAGGTGGTGGGCGCTTCGGGCTCCGGGGGCGCAGGAGGTGCGGGGGGCGCGCGCCCGCCCGGACCCTGCGTCATGGCCGCAGCCGCCCCACCGAGCCCGACCGGGCGCTGAGCCTGGCGCGGAGGAGGCCCTCTGTCTCCTTCTCGTTCCCTCCCCGCCCCCGGCCCGGTGATGTCATCCGCCCGGCCCAGCGCGCAGCCGCGGGGGGCTGCGCCCCTGGGACCCCGGCCCTCGGCATCCGGGCGCCTGGCTGGGTGGCTGGGGAAACTGAGGCCCGCTGAGGGCACGGAGCTGACTCGGATCAGGCAGTCCGGGAGCGAGGTGTTTCCAACCCAAGACCTGGACACGGACCCCCTACTACGCCCCCCACCCGCTGACCAAGTTCCTAGAATGACAGAGATGGGAGAGACTTAGAAATGACCTCCCTTCCTTCCTCTCTGACTGATGGAGAAACTGAGGCCTGGAGAGGAGCGGAGGTCGGTCGGGAAAGAGAGCCTTAACCCCAAGATCAGCCCCCTCCATTCCCATTGTTCCAGCCGGAAGATACTTGAAACATCAGGCCTCGATAGGGAAACTGAGACGCAGAGAGGGGAAGGGGTGTGAAGGCACACTGCGGAGACCTGGACCCAGGAGCGCCTGCCGGGTTGGGCTGGCTGGGTCTGGGAGGTGGGGAGCCTCAGAGCGAAGCCTAGTTCCTGCTCTGCTGCCTTTTTCTGGGCCTCAGTATCCCAGGCTGTAAGCCAGGGACATGGGCTGGAAGGTCATGGGCTCCTCCATTTCAGGGGAGCCCTGCCCAGCAACAACCCCATTGAGTCTTTGGGCCTCAGCCTCCCAGGCCTTACGGCCCCTCTGGTCCCAGCGTCTTTGTCCACATCCAAGCCTCGAGGCTTGATTCCTTCTCTACCGGGGAGCTGGATGTCACCGTCAGCCCAGGACCCAGCTTCCTAGTCTGTCTCCACTGGTCATCCTCCCGCTCCGGCCCCACCCCAGGCAGGGCTGACAGCTGGAAAACAAAAGGAGGGGGCCGGGGCGCGCAGGCAGGAGAGGAAAGAGGGGCGAGGCCCTTGGAGCCGGATCAATAAATCAGAGATGAGATCACAGCCCTGCCGGCTGCGGCAAACCGGGAGGTGGCGATGGGCTCTGCCTGTGTGTGTGTGTGTGTGGGGGGGGGGGGCCGCATGCCGGGCCGGCCGGGCCGCGATTGGACTACAACCAGGAGGAGTGGCGGGGGAGGGAGGGAGTCAGCGATGCTGCTAGAGGCTGTGGGTGCCACGCTGTAGTTGCTATTGTTCCTCCGGGCCAGGCGGGCCAGAGTCTGGGGTGTGTGAGTGCAGAGGGTCGGCCTTTGGGTCTGTGCTGGGGGGAGGTATGCCCGGGTGGGAGCCCTGATCTGGACTGTGTGTGCTGTGTGTCTTTTGTGATTTACACACATGTGGTATGTATGAGGGTTGGGTTTGTGTGTGTGTTCACATGTGTGGTCACACAGATGTGAACATGTGATTGCATGTGAGGAGGGGTTCTGGTTCTCCCAGTATATGATTAGAGGGTCCATGTGCATTTCAAGGTGGGTGTATAGGAGCCAGGTATGTGCCCATGCATGTGTGTAGGGGCCTGGTGTGTGTCTGGGTGTGTGTAGGGGCCTGGTATATGTCTGTGCATGTGTGTAGAGGCCAGGTATGTGTCCGTACATGTGTGTGGAGATCTTGACGTGTGTCCAAAGCATGTGTGACTTAGGCATGCCCCGGCTGGGGAAAGGACAGTTAGGAAAGAGTTAACACCCTCCAGGCCCTGTGTACTGCCCCTGAGGCCACCTCTTCCAGGGAAATGAGTAATGGTCATCTCTCCCTCCCAAGTTCCTGAGTTAGGGTCTTTCTGGGTTGCAGTTTTTAAGGCCTGGGATTAGGTGTCATCCCTAGGTGTCATCATACACAGAGCTTGGTCACATGACACCATCCCTAGGAAAGAATGGCAGGAGCAGAGCCCAGAGTCCAGAATTCAGATCCTGGCATTAGGCAACACTAGGGCTTATAGCGCCCTCAGACCAGCGGCCAGTCTCTGCAGCCCACCTTCTTCTCCGCAAGCATCACCTACCTCTGACTGCTGTGAAGCTTAAATGGTCTTTATCAAAATCTGATGAATATTAGAATATATCAAACTCCTATACATCCTTCAAAACCTAGCATCAATGTCTCCTCTTCCAAGAAGCCTACCTGACTGCCCTACTCAAAGCTCTGGCTCCACCTCTGCCCTCCCCCCAGCTCTGGGTGCCTCCTCTGATCCCATCTAGACCCCAGGCAGCTACAGATCGGGAGGCTGGCTGTTGAGAGCAGTGTTTGAGATCTTCTGTGATGTAAACAGACCTGGATTAAATGAGTCCCATGTGTGCTGCTGACAGCTCTTGGTGCCACAGAGATTTATTGGCAAGCAGCTAGTGCATGGGGTGGGGAGAGGAGGGCATCAGGGCTGCTTCCAGCCTGGTTTTGGGCTACGACCAGGTCAGGAAGCTGTGCTTCCATGAGAAACAGGTTAGAGCCCAAGTTTGGCAGAAACCTGAGCTGTTCTGGGGACCCAGGCCCTAGCAGGGCAGACTCCGAGTTCTAGGACACAGGAAGCTCCATCTCCGGCCAGCCACTGGGGAGAGCCAGGGGTGTCCCTTTCTCCGCCTGGCCTCGCTCAGCCTGGCATGACCAGGAGACAAGAAACTGGGGCGCGGGAAGGAGGCTCACCCTGCACAGGGCCATGGGTCACAGCCCCCAGGGACTGGAGGCAACAGGTGGCCTAGAAGGACCTCAGACAGTTCAGCTTCTCTGAGTTGTCCTACCCCAGTGAGAGCCTGGCCCAGGTGGGACCTGCCCACACTACTTCAGGGTGCAGGAAAACTGAGGCTCAACCCAGGTGCCGGCCTGCATCCTGTCCCCCAAAGGCGTCAGGGCGTTGTGTCTGGAGACATGGTGGAGGCCCGTTTGGAGTGTCGGATGCCCATGGTGAACGCTGGGGCCCTGGCTTTGGTGATGGTGACCTGCTCGGGGCTGTGGGTGCCAGGGCCAGGTGTCTCATCTGGGGGGCGCGGGGCGCGGGGCCTCCCCAGCATGGTGAAGGCGGGCCGGCGCTGTCGGTAGGTGTTGGGATCTGGGCTATCATACTGGCCCGGGCCAGGGATCTCAGCAGGGTCTTGTGCAGGGCGGGCGGGGGGTGTGCGGCCCACCACTGTGTAGCTGGGGCTACTGGGCTTGATGAAGATCTGGGCGCCCCAGAGAGAGGGCAAGGTGTAGGCATTGGGGGCAGGGGCTGAGGTGTCCAGAGGCTGTGGACGCAGGCGGGAGCCCAGGGTGAAAGCCGGAGGGGTCCGCTGGCGCACGGGGGCCACCTTCTCTGGGCTGTAGGCCCCAGGGCCAGGTGTCACCTCCAGACCTGTGAAAACGGGGCAGGAAGGCTGGCAGTGGACAGAGCGTTCACCTGATCCAGGACATTACATGGCTCCCCACTGCCCACACGCGTCCTGGAGCTCACAGCACTTCTGAGGAAGCCCCGAGTTAGTTCTCCCCCTTCCCTACCCTGCCACACAGTCTATTCTCTTTCAAGCCTCCACATCTCTGCCCAAGCTCAACCCTCTGCCAGGCAAGCCTCCTGTTCCCCATCCCCACCTCCCCAGAGCTGCTTGTCACCCTCCCAGAGAGCCCCAGGGACCCTCCTCCCTGTTGCCTCCCCCACAGCCCTTCTAGGACGAGTCCTCTCTCTGGACACAGCCACACGGAAGTGGGATGGTCCCCGCCTGGGTCTAACTCCACCATTCTGCGGCCTCATACAAAGCAAGGACATATCAAATCTACTGTTCCTCCCATCTGCTGGTCTATACATGTTCGGGAGGATGAGTGAGTAGAGCATGGGTGAGAAGTGAATGAGAAGATGAACAGCTCCATGGGTGTGGAGACAGACAGATTGGTAGATGGGTCCTGGGTGGATGGATGGATGAATCAGTGGGTGAATGAGCAGAAGATAGAGTAGAGGGTGAGAGATGAAAAGATGAATGGTGGTCGGATGGGAGACGAGTCGGATGATTAAAGCAGGCACTTTAGGTGAAAGGAAGCTGTTCACGGGCTGTGAAGGGGATTTCCACATCTGCTACAGTCCCCGCTACTCCCTGTTGTATCCTGATGCTGAGGATGAGCCTCAGCTGTCCTCGCGGTACCGTGAGTGCACAGGGTCACCATCACCTTGGCCCACTTCACTCATTTAGGTTTTCTTAGGGCCCCCCGCCCCTCTTTGGAGGTCTCATATTTTGTCACTCCAACGACACCAACATTCTAAGAACTTGGGGATAGGAGTGGAAGGAGAGGACAGAGGCAGGAGTCACTGAGACCCTGAAGGGACAGGGTCCTCATAGGGTAGCAGTCACATACTCACCTCGAGACTTGCCCCGGCCCTGTATGGAGTAGGCAGGGGTGCAGCTTCGACCAAACCGGGTGACTTTGGGGTCCAGGAAATAGACTGGCCCAGGGCTGGTGTCCTGTGGAGATACTGGGAAGAGGGGCCCAGGGTCCTGAGTGCACCTCTGATGGCCCCACCGCCCCCACTCAGTGCTGCTGGTTAACTCTGAGTCTTTCCGGCCTCCAGGCAGCCCCCGACCCCACCGGGGAGAGCCCCTGACCTCAGCCTGCAGAGGTCTGATGGCCCTGACCCCGGACCTGGATCTCTACTTTGACTTTGTCTTTTTTTTTAAGATTTTATTTATTTATCTTTAGAGCGGAAGGGAAGGAGAGAGGGAGAGAAACATCAGTGTATGGTTGACTTTCGTGGGTCCCCTGCTGGGAACTGGCCTGCAGTGAACCGGCCTGCAACCCCAGCATGTGCCCTGACTAGGAATCGAACCGCGAGTGTCTGGTTCGCAGACCCGCGCTCAATCCACTGAGCTACACCAGCCAGGGCCTTGACTTTGTCTTGATGAGCGTTTTTGTGCCCCCTCCCCATGGAAGCTGTGCCACCCCTCAACCTCTCCTCTGCCTTGAGCTAGGGGATCAGCTCTAGAGAAACCAGCTGGTGCATTGGTTAGAATTGCACAGAAAGTAAGAGTGACTAGGCTCTGACTGAG